AGTAAGAGGACCCTAAACTCATCTCATCCCAGATGCAACTAGATAATACTCAACATTGGTGTAAATAACCCAGAAAACAACCCACAGGCTGGCAGAACAAACTCCACAATTTGGAGAGAAGGTAGAGAAGAGGCCACATAAAGACAGTAGGAAGAGCAGAGACAAGGTGGGGAGCCCTGGGCCATCTGTGATGGGGGGGCAGCCAGAAGCACCAAAAAGGGCAAGAAACAGACTATGACACTGGGGACCACTCAGGGAATAAGATAAATCTCCATAACATCTGGCTTTGAAAGCGAGAGGGGAAGAATTTCATGAGTTCTCACAATCAACAGGACTTAAAACCTGGAATTTTAAAAATCAGCAGTTTTAGTTCTGGGAGAGCCCAGAGGGTGTTAGGAAGCTGAGTCCCTGAGCTTAAAAAGACAGCACTGGCAAACAGCCTGTGGAGAACCAGCCTAGAAGCAGCAGTTTGAAAAACACCTGGGGCATACAGAAGGGAGACTTATTTACTCATCTCCCTGTCCCAGAGGTGGAAGGGATCACAGGGAGATCCTTCCAGGAACCTGATAGGCACTATTTCCATCCCCCACCTCTCAGCATAAACACACAGCCACCTGCAGGAACCAGCACAGCACCAATACTCACTAACTAACTTGCTACCCCAAGCCCCACATCCCCATGTTTGGTAGATCTGCACTTTCCATTCATGCTTGCCTCAGTCCCAGGGCTGCAGGGAGGGTCCCTTCCTCTGGAAGACTAGCATAAACCTCATCAACACTGCATCTCCCAACCTGCACATTTTGCAGGGCTCTGCTCTCCACAGCAGCTGTGTGTCCCTTGTGGAAGAGGATCAGGGCACACAGCCTGGGGGCACGTGCACTTTGTAGAGCAGCCCTGGCTGGCCCCAGAATCTGCAGCAGCTGTGCATCCCCTGTAGTAGAGGATCAGTGCCACTCTGCTAAAAGAGAGCACACTGTCTACTACTTCAAGAACAGGGGACGTGGCTGACTTTCCTAACACAGAGAAACAGACTCACAGAGCTAGAAAAAAATGAGGAGATAGAGGAATATGTACCAAATGAAAGAACAGTAAAAAAGCACAGCAAGAGACCTAAGCAAAACAAATGTGAGCAATATGCCTGGAAGAGAATTTAAAGTAATGATCATGAAGAACTCACTGGACTTGGGGTGTGGGTGACTCAGTCAGTTAAGTATCTGACTCTTGGTTTTGGCTCAGGTCATGATCTCACAGTTTTGTGAGTTCAAGACCTGCATTAAATGGCTCTGTGCTAACAGTGCAGAGTCTGCTTGGGATTCTCTCTCTCCCTCTCCCTCTCTTCCTCTCCCCTGTTTGCTCTCTCTCAAAAATAAATAAACTTAAAAACTCTGTAAATAAAAAAAAAAAAGAAAAGAGTGGAGGACATCAGTGAGATCTTTAGTAGAGATAAAAAGAACTAATCAGAGGTGAAGTACACAATAAATGAAATTACAAATAGCTTAATGGAATAAATAGCAGGCTAAAGGATGCAGAAGAACAAATTAATGACCTGTAAGATTACTGTAAGATAATCAAGGAGAAAAAAATGGGATAGGGATTGGTTTGACTAATATGATCATTATCATACAACATCCATCCATAATAAAAACCCTCAACAAAGTAGGGTTTTAACCCTTTAGGGAACATACTTCTTCATAATAAAGGCCTTATATGAAAAACCCACAGCTAACATCAAACTCAATGGTGGAAAACTGAAAGTTTTTCCCCTAAGATCAGGAACAAGACAAGGATGTCCACTCTCACCACTTTTATTCAACATAGTACAAGAAGTCTGGGCCACAGCAATCAGTTAACAAAAAGGAATAAAAAGCATACTAATTGGTAAGGAAGAAGTACAACTTTCACTGTTTGTAGATGACATGATACTATATAGAAAAAACTCTAAATACCACACACACACACACACACACACACACACAACTATTAGAATTGATATATGAATTCAGTAAAGTCACAGGATACAAAATCAACGTACAGAAGTCCACTGCATTTCTATACACTAATAATGAAGCAGAAAGAGAAATTAAGAAAACCCCACCATTTACAATTGCACTAAAAATTATAAAATACCTAGGAACAAACTTAACCAAGTAGGTGAAAGGCCTGTACTCTGAAAACTATAAAACACTAATAAAAGAAATTGAAGATGACACAAAGAAATGGAAACACATTCCATGCTCATGGATTGGAAGGACAAATATTGTTAAAATGTCTATACTACCCAAAGAAATCTACAGATTTAATGCAATTCCTATCAAAATACCAACAGCATTTCTCACAGTGCTAGAACCAGCAATCCTAAAATTTGTATGGAACCACAAAAGACCCCAGATAGCCAAAGCAATCTTGAAAAAGAAAAACAAAACCAGATGTATCACAATTCCAGGCTTCAAGTTATATTATAAAGCTGTAGTGATCAAAATAGTATGGTGCTGGCACAAAAACAGACATATGGATCAATGGAACAGAATAGAAAATCCAGAAATAAACCCACAATTATATGGTCAATTAATCTTCAATTAAGGAGACAAATATATACAATAGGAAAAAGGTAGTCTCTTCAACAAATGATGCTTGGAAAGCTGGACAACTGCATGCAAAAGAATGAAACTGGATCACTTTATTTCACCATATAGAAAAATAAACTTGAATTGATTAGGGAACGACATGTGAGACTTGAAAATATAAAAATCCTAGAAGAGAGCACAGGCAGTGATTTCTCTGACATCAGCCACAGCAACATCTTTCTAGATATGTCTCTAGATGCAAGAGAAATAAAATAAAAATAAACTACTGGGACTACATCAAAATAAGAAGCTTCTGCACAGCAAAGGAAATAATCAACAAAACTAAAAGACAACCTACTGAATGGGAGAAGATATTTGGAAACAACATATCCAATAAAAGGTTAGTATCCAAAATATATAAAGAATTTATACAACTCTATATCAAAAAAATAATTATCTTTGATTTTAAAATGGGCAAAAGAGGGGGGCCTGGGTGGCTCAGTCGGTTAAGCACCCAAATTCGGCTAGGTCATGATCTCACGGTTCGTGGGTTTGAGCCCTGCGTCGAGCTCTGTGCTGACAGCTAGCTCAGAGCCTGGAGGCTGCTTCGGATTTTGTGTCTCCCTCTCTCTCTAACCCTCCCCTGCTCACAGTACCCCCCTCTCTCTCTCAGAAATAAATAAAACATTAAAGAAAATTTTTTAATTAAAAAAATAAATAAAATGGGCAGAAGACCAACAGACATTCTCTAAAGAAGATAGCCAGATGGCCAACAGACACATGAAAAGATGCTCAACATCACTGATCATCAGGGAATACAAATCAAAACTACAGTATCACCTCATATCTGTCAGAATGGCTAAAATCAAAACCACAAGGAACAACAGATGTTGGCAAGGATGTGGAGAAAGGAGAACCTTCTTTCACCGTTGGTGGAAATGGACACTGTTGTAAGCCACTCCGGAAAACAGTGTAAAGGTTCTTCAGAAAGTTAAGAATAGAACTACCCTATGATCCAGCAATTGCACTACTAGGTATTTACCTCAAGAATACAAAAATATTAACTCAAAAGGATAGTTTATAGCAGTATCTACAGTGTTTATAGCAGCACTATCTATGATAGCTAAATTATAGAAACAGTCTAAGTGTCTGCCAACTAAGGAATAAATAAAGATGAGGTGGTATATATGTATCTATATATATATACCATATATATATATGTATATATGTATATATAGATACATATATATATATGGTATATATAGATACATATATATATACGTATATATATATATACATATACACACACAATGGCATATTAGCCATAAAAAATAATGAAATCTTGCTATACGTGATGACATATATGGGGTAGAGTATTATGCTAAATGAAATAAGTCCATCACAAAAAGACAAACACCATATGATTTCACTCATATGTGGAATTTAAAAAACAAAACAAAGAAAAAAGACAAACCAAGAAACAGACTATTAACTATAGAGAACAAACTGATGGTTATCAGAAGGGAGGTGGGTGGGGGGAGGGATAAAAATGTGATGGGGATTAAGGAGGGCACGTATCATGGTGAGCAGTGAGTAATGTATAGAATTGATGAATCATTATATTGTACACCTAAATTTAATATAACACTGTATGATAAAATTATACTGAAATTGAAATTTAAAAATGTATTTAAAAACCACACATAGAAAAATAACAAGGAAAGACTGACAAAATCTGGCAGACAATGTAAAAACAATGCTTATTGGAAAAATAGAATAATCTTGCTTTGTTGTTTTTGTGGTTTTGGGGTTTTTATTGCTTCACATTTTTATTTACAGTCTAGTTAGTTAACATATAGAGTAATATTGGTTTCAGGAGTAGAATTTAGTGATTCATCACTTACATATAACACCTAGTGCTCTTCACAACAAGAGCCCTCCTTAGTACCCATTACCCATTTTGTTCATCCCCCCACCCATTTCCCCTCCAGCAAACCTGTTTGTTCTCTATAATTAAGAGTCTCTTGTGGTTTGTCCACTTTTAAAAAGCTTAGAAAACAATTCTAAGATAATAAACAAAAAAGCAACAATTTTATTTCCCAATCTCCAAACATTTCATAATTATATCATTGGGATTACCAATTCATTCAAAATGACTGACTTCCTCTCCTTTTGCCCTTACTTTGTAAGGCTTAAAATAGTACACAGACCACTCAGTCAGGATTGATGTTGAAGATGGGAAGACTACATTCCCTTTGCAAGTTAGGGGTGGAGGGGGGGGAGTGGCATTCACATGTTAATGAGTAAACAGAACAAAGTATAAACATATGAGGAAAATGTAGGAAAAATTACAAATATAACAGTTTCCCAGGTAATTCAGACAAAAGAGAAAGAAAGAGGGATGGATATTGGGGAAGGGGGTAAACACGAACTTACCAGGTTGAAAAGATTTTTGTGCTGGTGGTGAGATGTGATATGGGATGGAGGCAAGCTTTAGTCAGTATTAGATGAGCAGATAATCGCTTCCATCTTCCTGTTCATTTTGCCAATATCTTCACAGATTGGTAACTGAAAATGTGAGACACATGTTCTCTTCCAGTCATCCAGTGACTGTGATGTCATTTTAAATCACAATTCAGGGTGCCTGGGCCGCTCAGTCGGTTAATTGTCTGGCTCTTGATTTCGGCTTAGGTCATGATCTCACAGTTCGCTAGTTCAGGCTCCAAGCTGGGCTCTGTGTTGACATGGTGGAAATTGCTTGGAATTCTCTCTCACTGCCTCTCTCTTTCTCATTCACACACACACACACACACACACACACACACACACACACACTACTTTAAATACATACAATATAAAAAAACCACAGTTCATTCATTATATGGGATGATTGCACAACACTCTAAAAGGCCAAGATTGCATATCCTCATCAAATTAAAATGTCCCAACTCCCTCCAAAGGGCATCAAGCACCATTTTTATGGAAACAATGCTCAATCTGGGTGTGGGGTTGGGACCCCATTGTGAGGATATAGTTAAGACTGCCCGAATTCCCTGTGATCATGTGCCCCAAGGTATCTGGATGTTAATATTACTTTGAAAGCTCTCAACTCTGCTATTTTAAACTCTCAATCATGTTCTGCCTTCTAGGTTGAAGACCTACAACTTGTTTCTGTGCAAAAGGATATCTAGGATCTAGATTCCAAAGCTTGGAGATTCCAAGAGGGGAGGGTGAACAGGCCCCTGCTCGGAGGAACCTGAGACCAAATCATTTAACCAACTTTGGGTTCATGTTTAGGTCAATGAACTGAAGGCCTTACTGTGTTTCTGAGAGAAGAGGAAAAAACAAGAGTGTTCCTTTCCAAGGCCACAATATGGGTAGAGCAGTGGTTAAGGTCAGCTGAGGCTGGTGGATCAGTGACCAAGGGCCATTGGTGGAGAAGCAGCAACAAGGCTGTGGTACCAAGCCAAAGTGGAAGAGCCTGAGCTCCTGCTTTGGGGCACATCTGCATGCTTTGAGATTCTCCCAGTGGTACCTGCAGGGAGGATACCTAGTAAAAGATTACACTTGGGGCAGTCAAGTACGTTGGAAGCTTGTATCATAATAATTTACATAGAAAGGAAGAATTGTGACCTTAGTTTACGGATAGGCTGGTACCTATAGCCCAATGTCTATATAAGTGCCTTAAGGGCAGAGGCCTCTGTACCTTCATTTCTTTATCTACAATTGTGGGTAAAAGTTGAGGATTAAATTTATGTATAATTTATATAAATATAAATGTTTATATCTATATCATATGTAAATGTATATTAAATTTAAATATTAGTGTGTTTATTATATATTACTTATATAATAATTTATATTGTCTATAGTACATTTCTATATTAAATCAAATTAAATATATACAAATATATATAAATCATTGAGTATCTGGCTATAGTATGACACCAGGAAATAAGAAGTAGGGTACAATTTTGTATATTTACCTTCCAGGATAGCAAGAAAAAAGGGAAAGAGAAGTAAGAGGAAAAAAGAGAGGGACTGAAGAAGAATTAAGGAATGAACAAGGGCAAATATTCCCCTAATGTGCCAGAGAACAATAGATAATTCCTAAATATGCAGGGAAATGTTGTTATAGAAATAGTACAGAAAGTACACAATTACAGGGGTACCTGGGTGGTTCAGTTCGTTAAGCATCTGACTTCTAGGTGCGGCTCAGGTCATGATCTCACAATTCTTGAGTTGGTGTCCTATGTTGGGCTCTGCACTGACAGTGCAGGGCTTGCTTGGGATTCTCTCTCTCTCCCTCTTCCTTTTTTTTTTTTAATTTTTAAAAAATGTTTTCATTTATTTCTGAGAGAGAGAGAGAGAGAAAGAGAGAGGAACACAACATGAGCAGGGGAGGGTCAGAGAGAAAGGGAGATACAGAATGTGAAGCAGCCTCCAGGCTCTGAGCAAGCTGTCAGCATAGAGCCCGACGCGGGGCTCGAACCCACGAAGCGTGAGATCATGACCTGGGCTGAAGTCGGGCACTTAACCGACTAAGCCACACAGGCACCCCCTCTCTCCTTCTTTCTGCCCCTCCCTTGCTCATGGACACCTCTCTCTCTCTCAAAAATAAATAAACAAACTTAAAAAATAAAAGAAAGAAAGGGATGCTTCGGTGGCTCAGTCAGTTAAGTGTTGAACTTCAGCTCAGATCATGATCTCACAGCTCGTGGGTTCAAGCCCTGCATTAGGCTCTGTGCTGTCAGCTCAGTGCCTGGAGCCTGCTTTGGACTCTGTGTCTCCCTCTCTCTCTGCCCCCTCCCCAGCTAGAGCTCTGTCTCTGACTCTCAAAAATGAATAAAACATTAAAAGAAATAATTTTTTTTAAAAGCACACATTTACATAAAACAACTCCATATTACTCAGATAAATCCACTTTCTACTTTGGCTGTTGACACTTCATTTAATACTTTTGCTGGATTCTTATATCCACAAATATTACATGACTGACAGAAGCTCTGCGACGGGAACAGCCCCAGGACATCCCAGGTCAGAGTAGCCACCCTGGCCTCCACTGTGGCAGGCCTGTGTTTCCAACATCCAAAATGGCCCTGGGAGGCAGCCAGTGGGAGAGAAGATGGACACTCTGCAACTGGTACTATCAGAACAAAAGGTCATATAAATTGCAAGGCAAAAACCAGGTATCTTTTCCTGTCCACAGACATTCTGCAGATTGCTCTTGGGAAAGGTGATATCCTGACTCTACCTATAACAACAATACTGAGAAAGGCTGCTGTGGCATAGGATCTACCCTGGCCCTATATTCCCCCCTCAATCTCGTGTCATACGTTCAATTAGAGATGCTGGCTTCCAATTTCCCTCCTCTCTATACTACCTTGGCTCCACCTCTTTTCAAAGGAACCCTAGAGTATCTAAATTCTATTAAACTAGAACCATATGTGTTTCCTTTTTGTCATAATGTATATAAAACCATGCCAGGTACCAGCAAGCACTGTACCAAACCAATTCTCTACACTTTTAGTCAAAAGTGGATATGGATTGGGGGCTCCCAGTGGAAAGTCCTCTTTGTGCTCATGCTGACTGGTAGAATCATTTCCATGCCACTGTCATTCTGGAAGAAAGTACTCACCCAAGTAGAGCCAAAAATAGGAAAAAGAGAAAGTTAGTGTCAGAGAAAGACTGGCATTATAACGTTGCTCTTGCATAGGACGATGCTTGTCACAGAACATACACTCATCCCGTGTAGGATGAATTTTTCAGTTGACCCTGGTTGTGGTCTTGACTCTGCTATTCACTAATTGACTCAACCCAAACAAGAACCCACAACTTCAATAATCAGATTCCTTATAAAATAAAAAAAGAGAGAAAATAAAATCCATTTTTCTTTTCCAGACATTGAATCATTTCATCAAAAAAACTCTTATGTGTCAACCTCAATAGGGTAAATAGATATGAGTAACTGTGTATGTGTAGGGACGCTAGAATAAAAGGAAGCACAGCCTCATCTGCTGGTCCCCTCTTCCATCTCTTTGATAGCCACTGAGCCATTACAGAGTTCGAGCATAATTGTGATCTCTCAGCTATTCCTTCAAAAAGTCTCTAAAATTCTGTGTATTTGCACCTTCTTTGGTGATACAATTATTATGTTGCAATAGAGCCAGCTACGGAGCAATCCAAACTATGTTCTTCTTGGCCCTGGGGTTCTATCAGGTGCCTAAGGACTCTTCAAGGTAAGGAAACTCAAAAAGGAACCCAGCTGTCAGAGCTCTGTAACTCTCCCATCCCATCTCCCATAAATTCATCCCCTGCATCTGTGTGTTTACCTACTTTATTTCAGGACCATGTGTAAGATATCTTTTGAGAAAAATATTCTGTTGTTTTAAAAGTTCAAAATCCACTATTTTGACACAGTGTTTCTTAAGCACAAGAAAGATGGCACTGACATACACCTCACAGTCCCATGGGCATGCCCGGAGCTGTAGGCAACATCTTTGCCCCTTTCTCTCCCATTCAAGAGCGCAGAAAGGTTTGTAAAAGGGTGACAGCAGTGTTACTGTAGGGCTTGTCTTGAATCTATGTATTTGTTTCTCCCCTGTGGCTAACATGATTGCTCACAATAAGCAAGAAATAAATATGTACTTTAATAATAATTTAAATAGATATCTCTTTACTTACATAATTCTATCCAGAAGCAAGAACTTCACCATGAAAAATGAAGTTTGTACTTCACACCCGAAAAACAAACCCAGTGAAGAAATGGGCAGAAGATATGAACAGACACTTCTCCAAAGAGGACATCCAGATGGACAACAGACACATGAAACGATGCTCAGCATCCCTCCTCATCAGGGAAATACAAATCAAAACCACACTGAGATACCACCTCACGCCAGAGTGGCTAAAATGAGCAAATCAGAGAACACGAGATGCTGACGAGGATGTGGAGAAACGGGCACCCTCCTACACTGTTGGTGGGAATGTAAACTGGTACAGCCCCTCTGGAAAACAGTGTGGAGGTTCCTCAGGAAACTAACAATAGAACTCCCCTATGACCCAGCAATAGCACTGCTAGGAATTTACCCAAGGGATACAGAAATGCTGNNNNAGCACATGTACCCCAATGTTCATAGCAGCACTCTCCACAATAGCTAAAACATGGAAAGAGCCTAAGTGTCCATCAACGGACGAATGGATCAAGAAGATGTGGTTTACCTATACCATGGAATACTACATGGCAATGAGAAACAATGAAATCTGGCCATGTGTAGCCACATGGATGGACCTTGAGGGGGTTATGCTGAGCGAAATAAGTCAGGCAGAGAAGGACAAATATCATATGTTTGCACGTATAGGAGGATTAGGAGGAACTTGACGGAGGAACGAGGGGGAGAAGAAGGGGGAAAATGGTGGGGGAAAGGGAGAGAGGCAAACCATGAGAGACTCTTGAATGCTGACAAAAACCGAGGACTGATGGATGTGGGGGAGAGGGGGGATGGGCATGGAGGAGGGCACTTGTGGGGATAAGCACTGAGTGTTATGTGGAAACTAATTTGACAATAAACTATTAGGAAAAAAAAAAGAAAAATGAAGTTTGTAGCTAAAAAGAACTAAAATACA